ACGCCAGGCCGGTGCGCAGCGCGCCCATGGCCCGGCCCGGGGGAGCGAGGCCCAGCGCGGAACTGAGCAGAGGAGCCCGAGGAGGGCGGGATGCCCCGCCGCCTTCCGCTCGAAAGCGCGCACGGGAGCTAGGGCTCAGGCTCGGGAAGGCTGGGACTAGAAGCGGGCGCCGGTCCCATTGCCCTTACTTTGCCCTTCTAAAACCCGGACCTAGAAAGGCGTGGCACCACCGCCTCAATTGCTGATTGGCCGATGACAGGCCTGGCCCCGCCTATCCATGCGCCTCCTGGGCCAACCCCTAACGTTGCGCATGCGCAAAACTTCCGGTCGCAAAATGCTGTCCAAATGTCAAGCGCTTTGAGCCTTTGAGCGCGGCTTCATTTAATCCTCAAAATAGCTCCGAGGGACCTTCCAGTTGCCTGAACGGGACGAGGGGTCCGGTTTGCCAGACTCCCGTCTATCCTGCCAACCACAAAATAAGCAATAACTTCTAGATCAGCAATGGTTTTCATATTTCATATAGATGCTAACTGCTGGCTGAAACAGAAACTTGTTCTGTATATGTGTAAGTGTATATATGTATATATATATATATATATACACACATACACATACAGAACAGGCCTTGAGTTCCACACGACTAACAAAAAAATAAAAATTAAAGTCATGTGCAAGAGTGCACATCTGTAATCCCAGCACTTGGAAGGCTGAAATAAAAATCATTATATATAGACTGTATATAATCTGTATATAGAGATCAGTGTAGTTATCTTAACACACACATGCATGCAGCATACACACACATGTGCACACATTCATACCCAGAGAATTCAGACACAATGCAAATAATAGTGAAAATGATAGGAAAAATCTATTAGGAAGGAATATATCTGTCTGGTCACTAGACCCTGTAGCAAACTAGAGACACGAAGGCTGGAGAAAGATTCTTAACTGACAGATGCCATGGGAAAGGAATACTTTTACCTTCAGCCATCTTTGGGGTACAGACTTAAGTGTTAGGTTTAAATAGAGGAGTAATTAGGAACTGGGGATGAAAGGGATGCATAGTGTTCCAGTTCCAGGTGTGGCCTGGCTGGTCATTCATTATCTGAGCACTGGTTCTCCTGGTTCAAAAGTTATGGCTGTTATTACTTGAGGGAGACAAATTATTACTCTGGTTCCAGAATGTACCCTTATCTTTATAGGTGATTATCTTCATTTGGGAGTGGCCTGTCCTGCAAAACTCTGTTGGTGTGTGTGTGTGTATGTGTAAAACAAGCTGCATGCATATGTACCAGTAATGGGACTTGAAGTACAACTGAACACTGTCCCTTAGCTTAAGGCTGAAGCTCTACCACTTGAACCACAGTTCCTTCCAGCTTTTTGCTTGTTAATTAGAGATGAGTCTTGCAGATGCCAGGTGCAGGTGGTTCATACTTCTAATCCTAATCACTCAAGAGACAGAGATCTGAGAATTGTGATTCAAAGTCAGCCAGGACACGAATGTCTGTTAGACTCTTGTTGGTACTGAAGAATCGAACCCAGGACCTCATGCATGGTAGGCAAGCACTTTACCAGTAAGCCACACTCCCAGCCCTGTGAAACTCTTATCTCTAATTGACACCAGGAAACTGGACATGATGCTATGGCTCAAAGTAGTAGAACACTAGTTCAAGGACAGCACCTAGGCTCTGAGTTCAAGTTCAACAACCCACAAAAAAATCAGTCTCGCAGACTTCTCCTGCCTAGGCTGACTTGGAACTGTAATCCTTAGGTCTCGGCCTCCTGGGTAGCTAGAACCACAGGCATTGAGCCAACAGTGCCAGGAGTTTTTGAACTCAAGAACTTGTGCTCCAGATCAGCTTTTTCCCCCAACAGTGGGTGCTCTATACTTGAGCCACAGCTCCACTTCCAGTTTTATGCTGGTTGTTTGGAGACGAGAGTTTGGCTGAGCACCAGGGCTCATGTCTATAATCCTAGCTAGAGACTGAGATCTGAAGATTGTGGTTTGAAACCAGACCAGGAAGGTTAGTCCTAGAGATTCTTTACCTTCAAATACCCATCAAAAATCTGCAAGTGGAGTTGTGGCTCAAGTATAGAACACCAGCTGTGGAAATACTAGCCCTCGGCAAAACAAAGCACAGGACAGCACCCAGGCCCTGAGTTCAAGCCCCAGGACAGGAACAAAAAGCAAAGACATTTTATCAGTGATTTTTCTCTGGATTGTAAGGTTATCATGGATGTTTCTGAAATTTTCTTTTTTCTTGTCCGTCGTGGGGCCTGAATTCTGCACCTGGGCGCTGTCCCTCAGCTCTTCAACTGTAGACTAGCGCTCTACCACTTGAGCCTCAGCCCCACTTCTGGTTTGTTTCTGCTTAAGTGGTGCTGAGGAATCGAACCCAGGGCCTCATGTATGCAAGGCAAGTGCTCTACCACTGAGTCACCTTCCTAGCCTGTTTTTGAAATTTTCATGATTATAAATTGATATAATAGTATGGTCTATTTTTTTTTGGGGGGGGGGTCCAGTCGTGGGCCTGAACGCTGTCCCTCAGCTCTTCAGCTCAAGGCTAGCATCCTACCACTTGAGCCACAGCGCCACTTCCAGCTTTTTTTTTTCTGCTTATGTGGTGCTGAGGAATCGAACCCAGGGCCTCATGCATGCAAGCGCTCTACCACTGAGCCACCTTCTCAGCACTTTTTTTTTTGAGATTGAACCTAGGACCTGACTCTAAGTATGGCTCTACAACTAGAAACACAGCCACAGCCCCCCCTTTTTTCTCTGCAGTACTAGGGTTCTACCACAGCACCTTATGCTTGCTTAGGCTGATGCTCTACCACTTGAGCTATGTCACCAGCCCAGCTTTTTGCTGGTTATTTCAGATATGTATCACAGACTTTTCTGCCTGGATTGGCTTCAAACCTAAATCCCCAGCCAGACGCTGATGGCTCATGCCTGTAATCCTACTCAGGAGGCTGAGATCTGAGGATCACAGTTCAAAGCTATCCTAGTTTGAATTCAGGGACTGGACAGTCCTTAAGCTCAAGGCTAGCACTCTACCACCTGAGTCACAACTGTTTCCAGCTTTTTGATGGTTAATTAAAGGTTAAGAGTCTCATAGTCTTTCTTGCCCATTCTGGCTTCAATCTGCAATCTTCATATCTCATTCTCCTGAACAGCTAAGGTTATTGGCACCCAGCTCTCTGTATCTACAGATATATCGTAAAGGTTTTTAAATGTGGGCACTGGGGAAAATGAAAAAAGAAAAAAGGGCCTAGCATGGTATTATAAGTTCCAGAAGTTTCTAAGCTACAGTGAGGCCCTCCTGTTCTTTTTTTTTTTTGTCGGTTGTGGGACTTGAACTCTGGGCCCAGGCGCTGTCCCTCAGCTCTTCAGCTCAAGGCTAGCACTCTACCACTTGAGCTACAGCACTACTTTCGATTTTCTGGTGGTATATTGGAGATAAGAGTTTCATAAGTCCGTGAAACTTTCCTGCCCGGGCTGGCTTTGAACCACAATCCTCCGATCTCAGCTTCCTGAGTAGCTAGGATTACAGGTGTGAACCACCAGCGCCCAGCTCCCTTCTGGTTCTTAAACAAATATAAGGTGGCCATAGCTTGTCAGGCCTCCTTCCTCATCCATAGCCCCCCCCCTTCCCCCCACTTGCGGCTTGGGCTTGACTTCCAAGTTTAGCAACAAGGTGTTCCTGGCCTTCTTTCAACCTCATCCTGGCTCATTTTCCCATTGGTCAGGATCTCTGGGGTGTCAGTCCATCAGAGCACAAACAGCCATTGCAAAGAACACATGATTTATTAAAGACAACTCATCAACAGCACTGATTCAAAGAACAAAACAGATGAAAAACCTAAAGCAGACTAACATGCTGACCCTCTGGACTGCGGCCCTCCCACAGCTCCATCTTTGTGTTTGTAGTCCTGGGGCGGCTTCCCCCATGGAAGCTAACAGCATCCCAACTTTGTAGCCCTCGCTGGAGAATCTGGAGCAGAATAGAGGGCAGGTTCTGTCCTCAGGCAGCACCCCCAGGGGAGCTCAGCCTAACCAAGACGTGGTCCCTGTGCTTGCAACCTTCACCTCAAGGACAAGGCAAATCAGAAGCAGTGATTCAAGTAGTATAACCCCAGGAAGGAAGGCGGGGAAGGCAAGAGGACTCAGGCATCCTGGGCAGTGTCTGTTGGGTCCCAGGCAGTGGCCCAGGCCTCAGGTATGAAGGGGTCAGGTTCTGGGTTGAGGGTTGACCAGATGGCGGGAGTGTCTGCCCATGGCTAAGGACACCAGCTCTGGTGTTTCCAACACTGCGTTCTTGTTCTGTCAGCTACGATCTGCTGAGGATGGACTGTAGACCCTGGGAAATAAAACCAGGCACCACCCCCAATCTCCAAAGCACTTGCTAATGTGCAATTCTTAGCCAGGAGTCTGAATAAATAGTAAACAAAACAAAACATCCCAGTGCTGTGCTGAGGGCTGACAAAGGCAGGCCATCAAGCCCCAGAAGCCTCTACTCAAAGCCCACACGAAGGCCTGGGGGCAGCGGAGGACCTGCTACCAGCCCAGGAAAGCCTACTGAGGTCCAGCTCCTGCTGGCCAGTGTGAGGTGAGGACCCTTGCTCCATTACCCCCTCAACAAAGGAGAGACAGTGTGGTTAGAAGAACCCATTCCTTGAAGAGCCAAGAGTGCCCAGCGGCACCTGTGCAGGTGCACCTGTCCTAATTCCTGGGCAGAGCCAAGCAGAGGTGGCCAAGAATGGGCCAGCACATCTCTCTGCCTTGGTGGAAGTGAGGGGCACCAGGTACAGACATGGTCTCCAGGCGCTGACAGGACCCAGGCTAGCTAGCCGGGGTCAGCTCCTCAGGTCCCGCATGCCTGGCCCAGAATGGCCTTAATAACCTTGTTCTCCGAGACACAAAGGCCACTGGGAACGCTCCCAGGAGCCCACGCTCCCTCCGTTCTTACACACAGAACCGGCATGGGGAGCAAAGCTTCTCGGGCCACAGCTTCTCGGCAGCTTTTGGTTTCCAAGATTTCTGTCACGGGGAACAGGACCAGGGCCCTCTGGTGACACCCCGAGAATTCCCTCCCAGCCTGGGGAACCTGGGAGTCTCAGGCTGGGGGATGGGAACAGGATGCCAAGGCCAAAGCTGACCTCCAGGAGCCCTGGTGAGCCAGACTCCGCCTTCTGGCTTCGTGGGAGCAAAGGGGAGGAGAGTTCAGGAGGCTCAGGATAAGGCACCCCAAGAGAGCAGCGAGTATGGAAGATACAGCAAGAGTAACACTCACACTCTAGAAAGAGGTGGGAGGGACAGAGGTAGAGAGCCAGAGAAGGGGGAGCAGGGACCTACAGGGACCCCAATATCTTTGGGGTCCTCACCCCACCCCTAACACACAAAGACAAGCAGAGACGTCTAGGGGACACACATGCCACTCCTGGTGGGAGGGGCAGAGGGGGGACGTGGGCCTGGCAGTCACTGGGCTCCTTCGGTGTGGCTTCCCCGAAGGGAGGCCTGAGCACCAAGCCCAACGTGGTATCTGGCCCATTTGCCTAGCACACCAGCTGACCAGTGCCCAGAAGGCCGGAAGTAAGAAGGAAGAGCAGAGGGGCAGAGGCAGGAGGGAGCCCTGCCAGCCCTCCGGTGCCCCAAATGGCACAGCCCGTTTGGGCCCTGGAGCCCTGTTCAACAGCCTGGGAAGATGGTGCACGGCTGAAGGGCAGGGAGGCAGCAGGGCTGCGAGGCTGGGATGCAGCACAGTGCAGTGCCGCCCAGCGGTGTGCCTGCGAGCCAGGCTGAGCCTGCAGCCTCCTCCAGGCTGGTGGTCCTGGAAGCCAGGTGGGGAACTGCCCTCCCCAAGCCAGGCCTCTTGCTGCAAGGCTACTTTGAGTCTTGGAGCTCCTTGGCTTTCTGTAGGATCTGGCAGACGTCCGTGATGGGGTAATCCTGGACATGGGAAAGGCAATAATACGCCCCTGAGCAGCTCAGCCTTTGCTACCTTGGCCACACCCACTGCTCCCCAGGCGCACCTGTCACCACGCGTGAGCATTGGGGGCAGGGACCATACAACACCAGGCACTGGTCTATCTGCCCCAACCCTGGCACGTCATTAACCAAGCCAACATTACACCCCAAAGTCTTTCCTGGGCCCGGGACCTCCCTGCTGCAGCCCAAACCTGGAGTCTTAACACCCATCTCAACCACCCTAGGACGGTCACCGAGACCGCCTGGTTTAGAGATCTAGCTTAGCCAGGCAATGATGAAGCGAGCCTAGAGAGGCCTTGGGCTCAGGTCACATGACATGTGCAGAACAAGGGCACGAACTCACAGGAGCCCTGGGAGCACACGGCATTCTTAACTCTGAGCAGGGTTACTAAGGATCTGTGTTCTGGGCATGGTCACCTTATGGAGAGCACATGATTTAGAGCTCAGCCATTACTCAAGGCCACCCAATACTGGGGATCAATGGACGACCAGGATTCAAACCCAGATCCAAACCAGACCTGCCTCAGGGGTCTGGACCCTAGACCCCAGTACACTCTCCTGTTGCTAACTGCAGCTCGCCATGATGGCCGGCACTGGGCGGGGCTTGCTAAGGGTCAGCCTCATGACTGAAGTGGGGATTCCCTCGCATGCCCATTACCTGCAGGAGCCGCATGTTGACCGTGAAATCCCCTTCCAGGAGCTGCTCCCGGATCAGTCTGAGGAGAACAAAGAGGCCCGGTGCTGGGACCCAGTGCCCTGCGGCCCTCCCGCTTCCCCCTCACCACCCCCGGCCCTCTCCAGCCCAGAGAGCCCAGGCCTGTCCACCCCTAGGGCAAAGAGCTTCCTGTCTGGCCAGGCATGGGTGAACTCACATGAGCATGGCACAGCACACCAGGAGGAGGAAGTCAAAGCGGTTGTCATCAGCGAAGAGAGAGTCCCAGATGCGGATGACATCGGGCAGCAGGAACTCCTGGGACAGTAGCAGCGTCAGCCAGCGGAAGGCAAAGAACTGCGGCTTGATGTTCTGCTCTTGCTGGGGAGACAGAGGTGGGGTACAGGCTCGCATGCTGGCCGGCTGCCATGACTTTGGGGCAGCCTGCCATTGAGTGTGGGTCAGAAGCAGGCCAGGCTCCATGCGGAGGATGCAGCACCTGTGGGCCACTGGGCTGCCCAGGGAACGGAGCTGGTGCTGGCTCTGCCGGAGCCTGGCTCAGCCTCCCGCTGGCCAATGATGCCAGAAGCCCTGGGTTCTATCCAAGCTCTGCTGACTTGCAAATGACACCTTGTGTTCTGCTAGAACTCTGTGTAGGTACGTGCTAGTGATTTGTACGTGGATTCCTAGCTACTGAGGAGGCTGTAATCTGAGGCTCAGTTTGAAGTCTGCTTGGGCAGAAAAGTCTGTCAGACTCTGGCCAAATGCTGGACTTAGGTGGTAAAGGACCTGCGGTTAGTCAAAATGCTGGGTGAAAGTGCAAGGCCTTAAGTTCAACCAGCACAAACAATGATGCATTTATTGATTTACTAGAAAGAAAGCAAGGAAGCACTGTAGATCATGGCCTAGGATTTGGGCACAATGACATCACCAGGTATTTCCTAGAAGTCTGATCTTTTTTGTAGCTTTTTTTTTCCCCCCAGGGCTGAGGACCGAACCCAGGGCTTTGCACGCACCGGGTGGGCGCCCTTCCGCTGGGCTAAACCCCCAGCCCCAAGTCTGATCTTTTTTAAGTTATTTAGTTTTTTTGATTTTGCTGGTACCAGGCTCGAACTCAGGACCTTGCACTCACTTGGCTCTCTTGCTCACAGCTAGCTAATGGTTGCTAGCACTTGAGCCATGCCTCTAACCTAGTCTCATGCTCAGGATGTGAAATGTCCCACAGGCACTAATTCCCATCATAGCTGAGCCCTCTGGCCAGCCACAATGAATATTAACTGAAAAAACAAAATGCTATACATAGCAAAATAGCATTCTGGATTTAAAAAGCAAGTGTCTATTTTTTTCTTTTTTACAAAACAGTTTATATAGAAACATCTATCTTCCGGGCTGGGAAGGTGGCTCAGTGGTAGAGTGCTTGCCTTGCATGCCTGAGGGCCTGGGTTCGATTCCTCAGCACCACATAAGCAAAAAGAAAAAAAGCCGGAAGTGGTACTGTGGCTCAAGTGGTGGAGCGCTAGCCTTGAGCTGAAGAGCTGAGGGCCAGAGTTCAGTCCCCACAACCGGATGCAAAAAAAAAAACAACGAACAAACATACATCTATCTTCCTCTACAGAGCTGTTTTCTGATATAAACACGGAGTGCCAGGACAGTAACGATTGTGAGCGACTTGGGACTTGCCAGGCTCACCTCACTCAGTGCCTGTGCCTGGCACAAATGGGCAACACTCCAGACTTCGCCCTCCCCAAAGGTAGGGATGCTGGGCCCAGGCCTGTCTGTGTCCTAGGGTGTGGACCAGCATGGCACGTGTATCGGCTGGTGTATGCCAGCAGCGGCAGCTGTCCACCTCGCCCCGCCCCAGCCTGCCGTGCCTCCTGTCCTCTACCCCCGGCCCCTGCCCCAGGCTGTGGGAGGCCTTACCAGTTTCAGGTAGAGCTCCATGTCCTTCTCCTTCAAGGTGGAGTACACCTTCTCCATCTTGTAGGTGATGCCGCACTGTGAGTCATCCAGGCTCTTGATGAAGTTGTCCCGGATCTCGGCCATAAGGTTGGTGAAGCAGAAGAAGGTGTCCGCCTCGGCGTGCTCTGGGGGAGACGGCAGAGGGTGGGCCTGGCGGAGGACAGGAGGCCCTCCCAGTGCCCCCTCACCCCACCTCCAAGGGTCTCCATGCCGCTCTACTCTCTTGTCCTTGGCCACCCACAGGTGAGCCCTCAACCTCAACACCTCCGCTCCCTGCGCATCGTGACAAACGTGCACTCAAATAGAAATTACCTTTTGTCTTTTTTTTTGTGCCTCTTCTGAGGCTTGAACTCAGGGCCTAACTCCCTTCCGTGGCTTTTTCACTCAAGGCTGGCACTCTACTACAGTAGCCACACCTCCACTTCCACCTTTATGGTGGAGAATTGGAGATGTCTCCTAGACTTTTCTGCCTGGACTGGCTTTGAACTCTGATCCTGAGATCTCAACTTTTTTCTTGTTGTTGTTGGTCGTGGGGCCTGAACTCTGGGCCTGGGCGCTGTCCCTCAGCTCTTCAGCTCAAGGCTAGCGCTCTACCACTTGAACCACAGCGTCACTTTTGGCTTTTTCTGCTTATGTGATGCTAAGGAATCGAACCCAGGGCCTCATACATACAAGGCCAAGCACTCTACCACTGAGCCACCCTCCCAGCCCCCTCAACTTTCTGAGTAGCTATGATAACAGGTGTGAACCACCAGTGGCAACCTTCATACAGCAATTTCTTTTTTTTTTGGTCCGGTTGTGGGGCCTGAACTCTGGGCCTGGGCGCTGTCCCTCAGCTCTTCAGCTCAAGGCTAGCTAGCACTCTACCACTTGAGCCACAGCGCCACTTCCAGCTTTTTTCTTTTTGTTTATGTGGTGCTGAGGAATCGAACCCAGGGCCTCAGGCATGCAAAGCAAGCGCTCTACCACTGAGCCACCTTCCCAGCCCCAATACAGCAATTTCTTCTATGTTTTCTAGGTGGCAATTTAAAAATTTTGTCATCCAGCTTCCTGTGCATACATCTCATCTCTTCTACCAGAAATTAAGTGGCGAATATAAAGAGATCAGTATATGGCGTCACTCTAGAAGGCAGAGCTGGATACGAACCAGTCTGACCCCACATCTGGCAGAGGAAGAATGGAGACCTGTGGGGGACAAGACCCACAGTTTCACATGGCCCTGGAAGTTTTTGTCCCGGGAGCCAGCAAAGGGGGAAGTAAGTGGTGGGCATGCCTACCTTTCCACTCACTGTTGGGGTCAGTGGCAAAGGTGTAGTAGAGAGGCCCCACGATCTCGTTCATGCCCTGCACGTACGCGATGCCGGGGTTGAGCTTGGCGTAGATGAACAAGATTCGCTCCACCACCTCCCAGTGGGCTTCGCAGCCGTTGGGCAGCACTGCGTACTCATTCAGGGCCGGCGCAGGATTCTTGTGCGGGGAGCTCATCTGGGGAGAAATAGACAGCTTTGCCAGGGAGCACCGAGGGGCATTGAAGTGTGTGCCAAAACCAGCATGGGAATAAGCAGGCAAACCTAGAGTCAGGGAGATGCTGCCAGACAGTGGAGCTGGGGTATTATTATTTATGGAACTAAAACCAGAATGTTGCTTTTCCTCTGGACTGAGAGTACGAGGAAGGAGGAAGGAAGAACGTTCTGCATGGTAGAAACATCAGTATCTTGACCAAATGCTAGTTATTTAAATACAACCGTAAGAGAAAAAATATCTAGATATGTATTTAAAATGTGTGTGTGTGCACACGTGCGTGCATGCCAGTCCTGGGGCATGAACTCAAGGCCTGAGCCCTATCCCTGAGCTTTATGCTCAAGGCCAGTGCGCTACTACTTTGAGCCACAGAGACACTTCTTACTTTCTGGTGATTAACTGGAAATGAGTTTCATAGACTTCAGCCTAGGCTGGCACAGAACTTCCATCACAGATCTCAGCCTGAGTAGTTAGGATTACAGGCTCGAGTCACAACTACGTGCCTGGCCCTAAGCTCATTTTGTTTGAAGGTGGTGCTCTTTCACTTGAGATCTGCTTCTGGTTTTTTTTATTTTTATTTTTTCTGGTTAATTGGAGATAAGTGCCTTACAGACATTCCTATCTAGGCTGGCGTTGAACCACAATCCTCAGATGTCAGCCTCCTATGTAGCTAGGGTTACAGGTGTGAGCCACTGGCAATCAGCAACATTTTACTTTTTCCTAAATTGCAATCACACTTCAGATTAAAAACCTTCAATATGGGGCTGGCAAAGTGGCTCAGTGGTAGAGTACTTGCCTTGCATGCATGAGGCCCTGGGTTCGATTCCTCAGTACCACATGAGCAGAAAAAGCTGGAGGTGGCACTGTGGCTCAAGTGGTAGAGCACCAGCCTTGAGCTGAAGAGCTGAGGGATGGTACCCAGGCCCGGATCTCAGGGCCCACAACCCACCAAAAAAAAAAAAAAAAGAACAAACATCATCAATATGTCAAAAACAGACGATGAGCTGAGACATCTCAAAATGTAAAGTGGTAGTGAGGCACTGGTGGCTAACTTCTGTAATCCTAGCTACTGAGGAGGCTAGTAACTGAGGCTCACAGTACAAAGCCAGTCCTGGTAGTAAGGCTGTGAGAATCTCTTCTCCAATTAGCTATCAAAAAAAGCTGGAAGTGGAGGTGTGGCTCAAGTGGTAGATAGCAATCAGGCTCTGAGTTTAAGCCTCAGTACTGGCACTTAAAAAAGAAAAAGTAAAATGTTGGAGGCAGAGAAGCAGAACTTCCTGCTGCAAGGAGCAAATCCTGCCTGGTCCTGGTCTGAAATAAACCCATAGCTGCTCCTGCCACAGTGGAGAATGTCCCAGCTGATCTCAATGTGTTGTGGACGGGATACCAGGTGGTGTTCTGGAATGCACCCTCTTACATGGGCAAGGAGGGGCTGGGAAGGTGGCTCAGTGGTAGAGCGTTAGCCTTGCATGCATGAGGCCCTGGGTTCAATTCCTCAGCACCACATAAGCAAAAAGAAAAAAGCCGGAAGTGGTGCTGTGACTCAAGTGGTAGAGTGCTAGCTTTGAGCTGAAGAGCTGAGGGACAGGGCCCAGGCCTAGAGTTTAGGCCCCACGACTGGACCCAAAAAAAAAAAAGATGGGCAAGGAGGCCGGAGGACACCCTTGTTCTCAGGAGAGGCCTGCTGAGGTACCTGCTGTAGGGGTCAGGTACCTGAAACTTTCTGCCACACACAAAGCAATATGACACTGACAACGGACAGAGGATCCAGGTCAAAAGCCACACACAGACACAGACACACACACAGACACACACACAGACACAGACACAGACACACACACACACACACACACACACACACACACACGGGGTCAGGGACCTGAAACTTTCTGCCACACACAAAGCAATATGACACTGACAACGGACAGAGGATCCAGGTCAAAAGCCACACACACACACACACACACACACACACACACACACACACACACACACACACACACACACACACACACACCCCTGCACACCCACACACCCACACCCAAACCCACACCCACACCCACACACCCCTGCAGCTCATACCTATAATCTTAACTACTTGGGAAGTAGAAATCTAGATGATCTCAGTTCAAAGCTAGTCTGAGCATAAGAGTCTGTGAGACTTCATCACCAAAAATAACTAGCAAAAAGCTAGCCTGTAATCCTAGCTACTCAGGAGGCTGAGCTCTGGGGATTGTGATTCAAAGCCAGCCTGGACAGGAAACTCCATTTGACTCTTTTTGGGTCCAGTTGTGGGGCCTGAACTCTGGGCCTGGGCGCTGTCCCTCAGCTCTTCAGCTCAAGGCTAACGCTCTACCACTCGAGCCACAGCACCACTTCCGGCTTTTTTTTTTCTTTTTGCTTATGTGGTGCTGAGGAATTGAACCCAGGGCCTCAGGCATGCAAGGCAAGCGCTCTACCACTGAGCCACCTTCCCAGCCCTCCATTTGACTCTTATATCCAATTAACCACCAGAAAACCAGAAGTAGCGCTGTGGCTCAAGTGGTAAAGTGCTAGCCTTGAGCTGAAGAGCTGAGGGACAGCGCCCAGGCCCAGAGTTCAAGTCCCCAGCCAACAAAAAAAAAAGAAAGCCCCAGGGACGGAGGCTCTGCAGGACCATGTGGAGGGCAAGTGGACATGGGCTCACGTCCTATGGCGAGTGGTCCAGCGAGGCAGAGGGTGACAGGCTGTTCAGAGTGCAGGGAGGGCAGCTCATGCTTACATTTGTGACTCCACTCCGGTTCCGGGCCACTGTCTGGGATTTCAGCGTTGTCTGTTCAACACGCTTACGAAGGGTCTCAAATTCATTCTGGGGGTCCAGGATGAGGAGGCAGGGGTACTCTGTGGCCCTTTGGAAGAAGGACATATCTGGACACAGCCTCCTGTCAGAGGGAACAGAAGAGTACGCTGTCACTCACGGTGGAGGTGCTGGCTGGTCTAGCCCTGTATGACCCCAGGCGCAGTTGGCTTCTGTGTGCCGGGCTTTTTTTTCAGTGCTGGGGACAGAACCCAGAGCCTGGCACATGTGAGGCATGTGCTTCACCACTGACCTACGCTTAACCCTGTCTGTTTTCAACTATAAGCTTTTAATCAAGAAAACATGCTTTTTCAAAGAACAGCACTAGTCATTTATCCTAAACACTCTTATATTTTATACATATTTGCAAAGAAACATATACAAGTTTTTTGGTTTGCTTTTTTTTTTGTTGGCTGGGGGGCTTGAACTCTGGGCTTGGGCACTGTCCCTCAGCTCTTCAGCTCAAGACAAGCTCTCTACTACTTGAGCCACAGCACCACTTCCTGTTTTCTAGTGGTTTATTGGAGATAAGAGTCTCATGGACTTTCCTGCCCAGAATGGCTTTGAACTATGATTCTCAGATCTCAGCCTCCTGAGTAGGATTACAGGCATGAGACACCGCTGCCCGGCTCACAGTTTTTTGTTTTGTTTTGGTGGGTCATGGGGTTTAAACTAAGGGCCTGGTGCTGTCCCTGAGCATTTTTGCTCAAGGCTAGTGCTCTACCACTTTAAGCCTCAGCACCACTTCTGGTTTTCTGGTGGTTAATTGGAGATAAGTGTCTCCTGGACTATGCTCGAACCCAGACCCTCAGTAGCAAAGATTACAGGTGTGAGCTACTAGCACCCAGCACATATACATACTTTTAAAAAGTGTCTTCTTGGGCTGGGAATATGGCTCAGTGGTAGAGTGCTTGTCTATTTATTTTTTTATTTTATTTATTTATTTTTTTGTCGGTCGTGGGGCTTGAACTCTGGGCCTGGGCGCTGTCCCGCTCTTCAGCTCAAGGCGAGTGCTCTACCACTTGAGCTACAGCGCCACTTCCGGTTTTCTGGTGGTTTACTGGAGATAGGAGTCTCACGGTCTCTCCTGCCTGGGCTGACTTTGAACCGAGATCCTCAGATCTCAGCCTCCTGAGTAGCTAGGATTACAGGCGTGAGCCACCAGCGCCCGGCTTTATTTTTTATTTTTTTTAATTTTTTTTGGGTCCGGTCATGGGGCCTGAACTCTGGGCCTGGGCGCTGTCCCTCAGCTTTTCAGCTCAAGGCTAGCACGCTACCACTTGAGCCATAACACCACTTCTGGCCTTTTTTTTCTGCTTATGTGGTGCTGAGGAATCGAACCCAGGGCGTCATGCATGTAAGGCAAGCGCTCTACCACTGAGCCACCTTCCCAGCCCCAGAGTGCTTGTCTAACACGCATGAAGCCCTCAGTACCACATACACAGAAAAAGCTGGAAGTGATGCATTGGCGCACGTGGTAGAGTGGTAGTCTTGAGCAAAAGAAGCTCAGAGAGGAGCTGGGAAGGTGGCTCAGTGGTAGAGCACTTGCCTTGCATGCCTGAGGCCCTGGGTTCGATTCCTCAGCACCACATAAGCAAAAAGAAAAAAGCCAGAAGTGGCGCTGTGGCTCAAATGGTAGAGCGCGCTAGCCTTGAGCTGAAGAGCTGAGGGACAGCGCCCAGGCCCAGAGTTCAGGCCCCACAATCGGACCCCCCCCCAAAAAAAGAAGAAGCTCAGATACAGTGCCAAGGCCCAGAGCTCAAGCCCCAGAGATGGCGCAAAAAAAAGTCTTCTTGCTTGTAATCTTCATTACTCAAGAGGCTGGGATCTGAGGATCATAGTTTGAAGCTAGCCTAGATAGGAAAGTTAAAGCTGGAAATGGTAGAGCACCAGCCTTGAGCTTTACTAAAGAGTTAAGGGACAGCACCAAGGCCCAGGAGGTTAAGCCCCAGTATAGCACACACACACACAAAAAAAAGGTCTTCTTTTAAACCACAACCATGACTCTATTTTAAATATATGGCTGGGTATCAGTGGCTTACACCTGTAATCCTAGCTACTCAGGGGGATGAGATCTGAGGATTGTGGTTCAAAGCCAGATCGGGCAGGAAAATCTGTGAGATTCTTTTCTCCAATTAACCACTAGAAAACCAGAAGCAGAACTGTGGCTCAAAGTGGTAGAGCATTAGCTTTGAGCAAATGAGCTCAGGGTCAGCACCCAGACCCTAAGTTCAAGCCCAAGGACTGGCACACACAAAAAAATATATGGGCTAAGGATGTAGCTCAGAGGTACAATGCTTACCTAGCATGGATAAAGCCCTTGGTTCAACCCTCCTTACAAAAGAAGTATGCATATGTTTGTTTGTTTGTTTTTTTGTCGGTCGTGGGGTCTGAACTCTGGGCCTGGGAGCTGTCCCTCAGCTCTTCAGCTCAAGGCTAGCACTCTACCACTTGAGTGTCAGCCCCACTTCCAGTTTTTTCTGTGTATGTGGTGCTGAGGAATCGAACCCAGGGCCTCATGCATGCAAGTCAAGCACGCTACCACTGAGCCACCTTCCCAGCCCCTGCATCTGTTTTTTGTTTTGTTTTTTGTTAGTCATGGGGCTTGAACTCTGGGCCTGGGCACTGTCCCTCAGTTCTTCAGCTCAAGGCTAGTGCTATACTGCTTGAGCCACAGCATGACTTCCAGCTTTTTCTATTTCTGTGGAACTAAGGAATCAAACCCAGGGCCTCATGCATGCAAGGCAAGCACTCTACCACTGAGCCACCTTCCCAGCCCCTTATATATGTTATTTTATACATACATAATTATCTACACATACATACACAGAAGAATGTTATCCATTGTGTGACTGACAATAAAGAAAGAGTTCATCCCTCTGCACATCACCTTTATAACAATTTAAAAATTATTAACAAAAAAGAGAGCTGGGTGCTGGTGTCTCACACCTGCAATCCTAGCTACTCAGGAGGCTGAATCTGAGGATCATGGTTCATAGCCAGCCCAGGCAGGAAAGTCCATGAGACTCTTATCTCCAATAAACCACTAGGAAAAAAACAGAAGTGGTGCTGTGGCACAAGTGGTAGAGGGCTCGTCTTGAGTGAAGAGCTGAGGGACATCACTGAAGACTAGAGTATAAGCCCCATGACTGACCAAAAAAAAGAAAAGACAGCAGTTCAGCTAAGGAGATAGGACATGAAGTGGGTGAGTGGTCAGAATATAGTATACTCATGCATGGCAAAACTATAATGAAGCTCCTTTGTATACAGTAAGCACACCCTGACCAAAGAAAGTGGGCCATGGGCTGGGAATGCTGCTTAGTGGTTGCTTAGTGAGCCTTGCCTAATCTGCATGAAGTCCTGGGTTCCAATCCTTAGTGACACATACACAGAAACAGCCAGAAGTGGTGCTGTGGCTCGAGTGGCAGAGTGCTAGACTCGAGGAAAAGAACCTCAGGGACAGTGCCCAGGCCCTGAGTTCAAGCCCCAGGACATGAAAGAAAGAAGAAAAAGAGAGACAGACAGATGGACGGATGGACAGAGGGGGGAGTGGCGTGTGCAAAGTGCCATGAACTGAGTGGGAAAGGCAGAAGTGCATCAGGAGGTGGCCAGCCTCTGAAGGGACCAGGCCCCGCTGGGCACATGGCTCTAGACTGACACAGGGCTATTAGAGTACCTTCTGGGTAGAGGCTACAGCAACACCAAACAACAAGACAGAGTACTCTGTGTTGGGGCTTCCTGGGGCCATCTGAGCAGGGGCCTGGACAGAGGAAAGCCCTGGGCAGTGGGGGTGAGCAGGATCTCCCTCTTATCTGTATCCTGCCACCCGCCTTCTCAAGCCACAGGGCACTCAGGCTGTTCCCTGGGCCTAGCAGGCTCTTCCATGCAGCTCTGGGCCTCCCTGCCCCTCTTCTTCCTTCCAGGCCCTGCTCAGTTTCCTTCTCTATAAGGAGCCCTGCTCATTCTCAGCTCTGCTCCTCTCCTCCCTACACTACGTGCATGGTGTTTGCAGTCAATGTATTCCATGAAGGCTGGAGTATCTTGTCTCCCTGTGTACGCTGGAGCCCCTTCCATCTCAGGAAGGTTCCATCCACCCTCCTCACACGGCAATTCCTTGACCAATCAGCCAAGCAAGGGCGCACCTGGCCTGTGGGAGCAATTGAGAGCTGCCCTTGGGACTGCTGACGGAGCGTGTGGAGGCAGCTTGGGCAGGCTGCTTTAGGCAGAGGGGTGAGCTCAAGAGGGCCCCTCTAATGGTGAACTGATGATTGTGTGTGTGTGTGCACGTGGGTGCACATGCGTGTGTACCAGTACTGGTGCTTGAATCAGGGCCTGGGTGCTTTCCCTTAGCTTTTTTGCTCAAGGCTAGTCCTCTACTACATGAGCCACGTCAGCTTTTTTGTGTTCCATGGAGGTAAGTCTCCCAGACTTTTCTGTCCAGGCTGGCTTTGAGTCATAGCCTCAGATGTCGGCTTCTGGCGTCGCTAGGGTGCCAGTGAGCAGCGGGGCCTGCATCAGCCCAAGTTCCGAGGCCTTGCTGCTGCGCTGGGCCGGCCTAACTGCGGAGGCCAGGCCTGGCTTCACAACCTTCACCTCTGCTGTCTCACTCCCATTCCAGATATAGTTATTCAGGGCCAGAGAGCCTGAGCCACCTGTACAAAGCCACACAGCTAAGCACTAACAATGCTCGTAAGTGGAACCAGACAAACAGGCTCCAGAGCTCTTCCCCATCCCGCTGCCCTGTGGATGTTCCTTCCTTCCAGCTCCCCTGGCTGCCAGGCTCCCCAGGAAACAGGGTGACACAGCCAGGTTCCCAGTATTTTTTTTTTCTTTTTCTTTTTGTTGGTTGGGGGCTTGAACTCTGGACCTGGGCGCTGTCCTGAGCTCTTCAGCTCTGCTTTTCTGGTGCTTAATTGGAGATAAGTCTCACAGACTTTCCTTCCCCAGCTGGCTTTGAACCATGATTCTCAGATCTCAGCCTCCTGAGTTCCTAGTATTACAGGCGTGAACCACCAGCTCCTGACAGCCAGTATCTCTTCACTGAGGGGAAAGATACACACCCATCACTTGAGCACTCAGGTTTGACCTTTACTTGCTGACCTTTGCTTATTTTTGTTTTTTGCCAGTCCTGGGGCTTGCACTCAGGGCCTGGGCACTGTTCCTGAGCTTCTTTTACTCAAGGTTAGCACTCTACTACTTGAGCTACAGTGCTACTTTTGGCTTTTTCTGTTTATATGTACTGAGGAATTGAACACAGGGCCTTATGCATGCTAGGCAAGCACTTTACCATTACTCCACATTCCCAGACCACTTGCTGACCTTTGTACAACCGCCCTATACCCTTGGGATCAAGCCTAAAGTCCAACCCTGGCCTTTCATCCGTTGGCCTCGACAAGGCTCCCAAAACGTTCCTGGCCTTGTGTGCTCACAGGGCTGCCCTGTCTATCCCTTGCACCCCCCTCACATCTCCCCAAACACTTACCACAGTGCTGGCTGCAAGCCTGCTTTGCCATCACTCTCCACCCACAGCCCACAGCTCTTTCCGGAAAGAGACCATGGCCGTGGGTCCAGTGCTCAACCTTGAGCCTGGCACAGAGATTGGCGACTGTGGAATGCGCAATCAGACGAACCCATCAACGCCAGGAACCAATGGAACAAGGCAAGGGTAAGGAGGCCCTGAGCCCCACAGCCAGGGGACAGTGGCCAGTCCCCATGTCTTTTTTTTTTTGTTGGTCATGGGGCCTGAACTCTGGGCCTGGGCGCTGTCCCTCAGCTCTTCAGCTCAAGGCTAGCGCTCTACCACTCGAGCCACAGTGCCACTTCTGGCTTTTTTCTGCTTATATGGTGCTGAGGAATTGAACCCAGGGCCTCATGCATGCAATGCAAGCGCTGTACCACTGAGCCACCTTCCCAGCCCTCCCCGTGCCTCTTACCGGACATCCTTGTCGATCTGCAGCAGCACTTCATTGTCCCTGAAGTAAGTGTTCCACCTGCTGTCGGGGTTGGGGTTGAGGGGCTGTGGGGAGAGAGGTGCTGCTTGGTCTGAGGCCCAGCTTGGGCCATCCCAGGTTGGAGCCTCAGCAGTGTCCTCCTCCCCCTCACCGTCCACCACAGACCCAGCACTGGTCCAGAGACAGAGCCTCAGTACGGCTGCTCAGTGGCAGCACAGGGCTTCCCAGGGCCTCAATCCCCTTCAGACTCAATTGGCGGTGAGCCCTGAATGCTGTGCTGAGTATAGCATGCCTGGAAGACTGTTCCTTCTGCACACTGCCCTCACTGGAGCTTGCAGACTGCATGTGCTCACTAAGTGCTGCTGAGTGAATGAATGAGTGAATGTCCATCAGGACTCTTGAGTCTCATTTGCCCTGCTTTGGGTGGTCCTTAAACTTCTATCTGGAGGCCAGCTCATCTCTACTGCTGAGCATCCAGGGAGCTGCTGAGTATTTCAGGAGAGAACAGGGCGCCCTCCCGACCAGTCAGGCAGTCGATCCTCCTTCTTGTCCTATATAGTCCTGGTAACCTTCCTCAAGGACTGAGGAGAAGAGAAGCTGGGCCAGGAGTGCTAACCTAGCATGCATGCAACTCCAGGTTCCAGTACCAGCACCCCAGCAATTGGGGGAGAAAAATAGAAACAAACAAACAAACAAACAAAAACATTTAGCCAGGCATGATGGCACATATCTGTAATCCCAGGACTCTGAAGGCTAAAGCAAGAGGATCTTGACTTCAGGGCCAGCCTCTGTGCTACACAGTGAGTCTTAATTTAAAAAAAAAAAAAAAGCTGGGCACTGGTGGCTCACACCTGTTATCCTAGCTACTCAGGAGGCTGAGATCTGAGGACCAAGATTCAAAGCCAACCCTGGGCAGCAAAGTCTGTGAGATTCCTTTTTTTTTTTTTTTTCTGTCGGTTGTAGGGCCTAAATTCTGGCCTGGGCACTGTCCCTTGGCTCTTCAGCTCAAGGCTAGCACTCTACCACTAGAGAAATAGCTCCACTTCCAGCTTTTTCTGTTTATGTAGTGCTAAGGAATCGAACCCAGAGTCTCATGCATGCAAGGCAAGCGCTCTACCACTGAGCCACCTTCCCAGCCCCAAAGTCTGTGAGATTCTTATTTCCAATAAACCACCAGAAAATGGGAAATGGCCATGTGGCTCAAGCGGTAGAGTGCACGCCTTGAGCTGAAGAGCTGAGGGACAGCGCCCAGCCCCAGAGTTCAAGTCAAAAGCCCAGGGATGAGGGCTGTGGGGACAGTGCCTGCCGAGCACCTGGGGCAGGGCTGCCCATGGCCCCATGTGACACTGGCTTCACCTTTGTGTAACTGACTAGGCGCAGGGACTATCCATTAAGACTCTGATGCAACAGGGTGAGACAATGTCTAGCGCTGGGCAACAATGCAGACAGGAGGTCCTGGCAGGTCCACGGAGACCAAGGCCAGGCTGTACCCGTCCTCCAGCAGGCCCACCTGGCCTGACCCAAGGGCTCCCCTCTCCCCTACTCACATGGTCCTCAAAGGTCACGTCTTCCCTGGATACCCCCAAGTTGGCCTTGGCGATGCCAGGCTGGATGATCATTTCCCTCAGGAACTGAGAGTACAGCTCCCTACGGGAAGATGAGAACGCGTGATTCCCAAAGGTGCCCAGAGAGCTCAGACCAGAGAATTAGCAAAGAAGGCAAAGACTGCTTGTTTGTTTTTTGCCAGTCATGCGGCCTGAACTCTGGGTCTGGGTGCTGTCCCTCAGCTCTTCAGCTCAAGGCTAGTGCTCTACCACTGGAGCCACAGCGCCACTTCCAGCTTTTTCTGCTTATGTGGTGTTGAGGAATCGAACCCAGGGCCTCATGCTTGCAAGGCATGCACTCTACCGCTGAGCCACCTTCCCAGCCCCGCAAAGACTGCTTCTGTCTGGGGTCTCCCATCACCATTCTCCCATTCCCAGGCCTTACCTCTGTTTGGCCAGGATGGAGGTCCATGAAGCTCTCTCCAAGGGGAGGTAGTTCAAGAGGATCTGCACAGAGAGGGGCACAGCTATGATGTCACCTGCCCTGCCCAGGACAGCAGGTGGCCATCAATGGGCTTCTCACGGAAAGGCTTCGTAAAGCCAAACACACACAAGATGGCAGACACCAAGGAACTGAGGCAGCCTAGCTTCCCTTTCCTCTCCACTGCCTCCCACCTCCTGCATCCCAAAGAGTGCTTCCCTCTGCTTTTCCTTACACAGATTCTTCCAAATGATAATGGAACCTGAAACTCCAAGGGGCTGAGAAGCATGCCCCAGGGATTCCCCTCCTGTTCTGCTCATGGATTCCAGCACAAACCAGCCTTTCCTTGGTCCCCACAAACATCATTTCCATAACATTTCTTTTTTTTTTTTTTGGTCGGTTGTGGGGCTTGAACTCTAGGCCTGGGCGCTATCCCTGAGCACGTCAGCTTAAGGCAAGAGCTCTACCACTTGAGCCACAGAGCCACTTCAGGTTTTCTGGTGATTAATTTGAGATAAGAGTCTCATGGACCTTCCTGCTTTGAACCACCATCCTCAGATCTCAGCTCCTGAGTAGCTAGGATTATAAGCATGAGCCACTGGCACCCAGCCAGAACATTTCTTTATTGGCAATATCGTCCCGTCTTCCAAGGGGAGCTAGAGGGAACGCCAAAAGGGCAGACGAATCCTAGAACTTGCAGAAAAACATCGTCAGTCAAGCAAGCAAAGGTGCAGAACAGACAGAAGGAGCGGGGTGGGGATGGCCATGCAGGAACCCAGGGACCCAGAGCAGAGCAGCCCACCTCAGGCACACCCACCTTCCAGCAGAGGCACCGCAGTCCGCCCTCAAAGGGAATGCCTGTGGACACAGCAGGCACAGATCACTACAGGCCAGACTCCCAGAACCCCCAGCCCTCTGTCTTGGAACCAGTTGGCAGGACGTAGGGAGAGCAAGAAATTTTTCTTTAGGATCATTTTCCACCAGACACTTCCAGGCTGGAGGCTGATGCTGTGTGTAATCTCTGTCCATGGCTCCAGCCTTTGCCCAGAGTACCTTCCATTTGGAATGTTTTTTTTTTTTTTTTTTGTCAGTCATGGGCTGAACTCTGGGCCTGGGTGCTGTCCCTCAGCTCTTCAGCTCAAAGACAGTGCTTTACCACTTGAGCCATAAATACACTTCTGGTTTTCTGGTGGTTTATTGGAGATAAGAGTTTCACAGCCGGGGCTGGGAAGGTGGCTCAGTGGTAGAGCGTTTGCCTTGCATGCTCAAGGCCCTGGGTTCGATTCCTCAGTACCACATAAGCAAAAAGAAAAAAGCCGGAAGTGGACGCTGTGGCTCAAGTGGTAGAGCGCTAGCCTTGAGCTGAAGAGCTGAGGGACAGCGCCCAGGCCCAGAGTTCAGGCCCCACAAAAGTTTCACAGCCGGGGGCTGGGAAGGTGGCTCAGTGGTAGTGCTTGCCTTGCATGCATGAGGCCCTGGATTTGATTCCCCAGCACCACATAAGCAAAAAGAAAAAAAAAAAGCCGGAAGTGGCGCTGTGGCTCAAGTGGTAGAGCACTAGCCTTGAGCTGAAAAGCTGAGGGACAGTGCCCAGGCCCAGAGTTCAGGCCCCACGACCGGACCCAAAACAAAAAACAAAACAAGAGTTTCACAGCCGGGCGCTGGTGGCTCATACCTGTAATCCCAGCTACTCAGGAGGCTGAGATCAGAGTATCTAGGTTCAAACCCAGCCTGGGCAGGAAAGTCCGTGAAATTCTTATCGCCAATAAACCACCATAAAACTGGAAGTGGCGCTGTAGCTCAAGTGGTAGAGCGCTAGCCTTGAGCTGAAGAGCTGAAGGACAGAGCTCAGGCCCAGAGTTCAAGCCCCATGACTGACCCCATCCCCCCCCCCAAAAAAAAAGTTTCACAGACTTTTCTGCCCGAGCTGGCTTTGAACCGAGATCCTCAGATCTCAGCCTCCTAAGTAGCTAGGCTTACAGGTGTGAGCTACTGGCACCCGGGATGGAATGTTCTTTTGAGAATAACACCTTGAGATTTTTTTTCCCCCTCGAAGGATCCACTATAGCTAGGCACCAATGGCTCATCCCTGTATTCCTAGCTACTCAGGAGGCTGACATCTGCGGACTGCTATTCAAACCCAACCTGAGCAGGAAAGTCTGTGAAACTCTTTATCTCTAATTAACCACCAAAAGCCAGAAGTGGAGCTGAGGCTCAAGTTGTAGAGTGCTAGACTTGAGAAAAAGCAGCTCAGAAACAGTGCCCAGACCCTGAGTTTAAGCCCCAGGACCAGTAGCAAAAAAATAAATAAATAAATAAAAGCCCATGAAAATCTCACTGACAACCAGCAAAAAGTCAGAAGTGGAGTTATGGTATAAGTGGTAGTACACCACCTTTGATAGAAAAAGTGGAGGGAGAACACGATGCCCTGAGTTCAAGCCCCAGTACTGGCATACATGCACACACATAACCAAGAACTTGAACGCAGATCTAACTTAAGCCCAAATTCTTTACTATGATCAGATACTGCTACTTCTTTGGGGCCTCAGCACCACTCCAAAACTAACAGCCCAATTCTTCTTGTGAGCAGCTATTGTGATACCTTCCCTGGTACAATTACATCAGCCAGGGCCACTCAGTATCTGCATGGGAAGGACAGGGCAACATAAAAGCCTTGCCAGGGACAGGGTAGTGGCAGGCAGTTAGGGAGCTACACAACACTTGGGGATTTTTTTTTTTTTGGTGCTAAAACAGAGTTTTGAACTCAGGGCCTCCCACTTGTTAAACTGGTCCTTTACTATCTGAGCCTCACTTCCAGCTCTTTTTGCTCTGGTTAACTGAGATAGGGCTCACACACACTCCCACCCCAGGAGGGCCAGCCTGGACCACAATCCCATTTAGGCTTTCCTCTGTGGGTAAGATTAATAGGCACATACCACCATGCCCAGTCACTTTGGGTAATTTTTAAAGACAGGAAAAAACAACAACAACAACAAGTTAGCTTCACGCTGGAAAATTAACCATGTCAGGGAGGGCAAAGTTCAAAATGGCCGAGGTTCATTCAGTTCCTTCTTTCAAGCCAATATTCTGGAATTTTACTATGAACCAAAGTTCACTGTTGGCTTCGACCCCCAAACCAGAGAGGGAACCAAGAAACATACTGCAGCGAACCAAATTCTGTAATGCAGGAAGAGAGTTGAGGACTGAAGAAAGGCCTGACCAGGATCCAAAGGTCTCCCCACCCTCCTTCTCCATCTTGGGCTCTCCAGTGACTGAGGAACTTCCCCCAGGTGTAACTGTGGCCACCACTCCTCTGGGAAACGGCTCTGAAGAAGACCCTAAGGCTCAGACTGGCTTCTAGAACTCACCAGATAAAACCTTGACACCTTCCCCTCCCCATCCTAGCCATAATGCTGTAGTTGCTTCTTACCACTAAAACTGAGTTCCCGAAGCTTCTCCAAAGCAATTGAAGGCTCCTTCAGGACATCCTGGAAATCTGCAATCCTACAAAGGAGGAGAGGGTGGTAACTGGAGCTCACTTTGCAGCCCCCACCCTCATGCCACCAGTGCAATGATCATTTCATTAAACCCAGGAACGGGGAGGCCATCAAAAGATAGGAGAGAGGGCTGGGAATGCAGCGTACTGGTACAGTGTTTGCCTGGCATGCATGAAACTCTGGGTTTGATCTCCCAGTACCACATAAACAGAGAAAGCCAGAAGTCATGCTGTGGCTCAAGTGGCAGCTCAGCAACAGTGTCCAGGCCCGAGATCAAGCCCAGGACTGGCAAAATAAATACATAAATAAATGAATGAATGAATAAATAAATAAGAGATCTGAGCAGTTTTCTTGTCTATAGGGCACTGGAATGAGCACTATAAAATTAAGCATTTGCTAAGCCTATTCAGGAGGCTCTATCTGAGATCATGGTTCAAAGCCAGCCAGGGCATAAAATGCTTATCTCTGAACAACCACCAAAAAGCCAGAAGTGAAGCTGTGGCTGAAGGGCAAGAGTGCTAGCTTTGAGCAAAAAAGGCTCAGGGGTGGGCTGGGAACGTGGCTCAGTGGTAGAGTGCTTGCCTTGCATGCATGAAGCCCTGGGTTTGATTCCTCAGCACCACATAAGCAGAAAAGAAAAGCCAGAAGCGGTGCTGTGGTTCAAGTGGTAGAGTGCTAGCCTTGAGCTGAAGAGCTGAGTGACAGAGCTCAGGCCCAGAGTTCAGGCCCCATGACTGGCAAAAAAAAAAAAAAAAAAGCTTAGGGGCAGTGCCTAGGCCCTGAGTTCAGGCTCCAGTATTGGCACAAAAAGTAAATTACTTAATTACATTAAAGCATTATCTACTATACAGAGAGCTGGCGTTTATTTATTGAACACTACAAAAAGGCCAAGAGTAGCCCAGATTACAGCTACTACCGTGAGACTCAAGCAATTCTAGGAATTGGGAGTAACTGGATTAGCAAACAATGGGTCTGTGCAATCTGCCCGCAGTTTCCACGTTCAGAAAAGTAACTATTGTAAGTCTTCCAGACCTGTCCTCGGGCAAGGACAAAAGATAAATAGTAACTCCTAGAGGAAGAAGAGGAAAAAAAAAAAAAAGAGGAAAAAAATTTGGCCAACGGTGCAAGATGTGGCCTGGGGGAGGCCAGGCTGGTTCTCTTGGGTTTCTAGGAAGAAAGGGGCACGGGGGGGGGGTGCGGGGAGCATTTGGTGAAAGGAGGGTGCTGGGGGTCGGGGGCAGATGCTGGAAGAGGCAGACATCTCGGGAAGGAAGGAGGTTCGGGCCAGGGAGGGCCACGTCCGCGGGGACCCCAGCGGCTCGGCCACTCCTCCCCTCGGGCCCACAGGCGCCTGGGCGAGGCGGAGGCCCCCGCGACCCTCGGCCGGGCCTTGCACTCCGGGCTGCGCAGGCGCCGGCCCGCCCTGCACCGCAGCCCCGGCGCTTAGCCGGGGGCAGCCGGGGCGATCGGGCCCGGGCGCCCCTTACCGGCTCTTGTGCAGACTCGACATGGCGTTGACTTCTGAACCCCCGGGTGCCTTTGCAGCCTCGGGAGTCACCGCCGCCCCCCGGGGACGCGGGGCGCTCCGCGAAAGCCTCCGGCCGGAAACAAACCCGCGAGCAGTGCGCGTTCCGACCTGCCCGGCCCCGCCCACAGTCACGTGCGGAGCATTTCCCCCCCTCCTCCCGCGCTGCGCATGCGCTCTGCGCGCGCCTCGTGTGCTTTTCCTGAGCTTCCGGGAACTTTTTTTTTTCCTTTTCTTAATATTTGAGAGTGCTAGACTTGAGAAAAAGCAGCTCAGAAACAGTGCCCAGACCCTGAGTTTAAGCCCCAGGACCAGTAGCAAAAAATAAATAAATAAATAA